AAGTTCTTCCTCGGGTTCAGCTGGAGCTTCCTCTGCTTCAGTTTGTGCCCATTGCCCCTTGTCCTGTCGCTGGGCACCACTGAACAGAGTCTGGCCCCACTCACGCGGAAGGTGCTTCAGGACTCCACAACGTTTCAGATCCACACCTCGCACTCTTCCCCTAAAGGCCCCATCACTCCTCCCAGTTTCCAAAGTTGAAGAGGTTTTGGCTGAGTACCACCCTTGACTCCGGGCAGACCGATACCCGCACCCGGGTGCGCACCCAGTTGAGCCCAAACAGCGACGCAGCCGGAGGGGACACAAAAACCAACGCCTGCAGCTACGACTGCCGCGGCAGACGTCTTATTTAAGGCACAGCACAGTCACTTAGGATGGCCTTGGACTAATCAGCCCAACATTCGCCGTTCCCCATGAGTCTCTGTGATTCCTTTTTGATCCTCCTATACTAGTCTAATGAGATTTTTAATTGAACTTTATGGGTTCCCTTTGAGGACCACAGACCTCGCAATCAATCTGAACCGCAGTAAACTGTGTGAAGTTTCTCTTGCAAAAGGTGAGCCGTCCCCACCATGTCCTTGGCATAAATTGAGGCGAAGATGTCGCATCTTTCAGCCGCTGCTTGGCACCTATTCCACCTTCTCATAAAGTTGAAGGTCATCGTATGAATTACTGGAAGCGACCCAACTACAAAGGGAAACCTGTGGAACGTGCGCTACCAAAATTAAAGAGCAACCCCTGATCTGCAGAACGAAGAAACGCTCTGGTAGTTTGTGGGAAAAGGCGAGATTTGCAATTTTATCGTCACGTTTGAGCGACAAAGCAATGCCAGGTTTGGGTTTGTTTCAAACGCTCATTTTTACTGTCATTACTATCCTCAGTAACTCACGCTTATGATTTAGTCATCACGTTTGTAATTTGCTCCTTTAACCACAGGCAGCGTCTCAAGGTGCAAACGTATCGCGATTTTGCTCTCGCACAGCCTCTGCAGCAAGCATTAACAGAAGTATTCGTTTTATTCCACACTCGCAATAAGAGCATTCACTAGTTTCAGCTTCTCTCCTGTGAGCAAAAATCACTAATCTGCTGCTTAACAAAACATCGCATTTCTGCAAGAATTTTGTAGCGATCGCTCCTCAGGCCCAGAGGTTCCACCCCGAAGCTCGCGCTGCAGACGTAGCGGCTGCGAACGCCGCAGCTCTCCGCGTCCTGCGCCGCCACGCGAGCGACGCTGCAGCTCGGGTGACGTGTTCAGCTTAAAGAACTGCTCAGTTAGATTCAGAGCTCAACAGCTCACCTGATAAACACCCTGCGAGCGTGCGTATACACGGACGAGGTTCACGGGCATCCTGCAGCTCTACGCAGGGAGCGCGCTACCACCTCAACTCACATAATCACAGAATCACAGAATGGTCGGGGTTGGAAGGGACCTCTGTGGGTCACCCAGCCCAACCCCCTGCCCAAGCAGGGTCACCCAGAGCAGGCTGCAGAGGACCTTATCCAGGCGGGTCTGGAATATCTCCAGAGAAGGAGACTCCACAGCCTCCCTGGGCAGCCTGGGCCAGGGCTCCGTCACCCTCAGAGGGAAGAAGTTCTTCCTGATCTTCAGCTGGAGCTTCCTCTGCTTCAGTTTGTGCCCGTTGCCCCTTGTCCTGTTGCTGGGCACCACTGGAAAGAGTCTGGCCCCGTCCTCCTGACACCCACCCTGCAGATATTTAGAGGCATTTCTAAGGTCCCCTCGCAGCCTTCTCTTCTCCAGGCTGAAAAAGCCCAGCTCCCTCAGCCTCTCCTCATAGGAGAGATGCTCCAGTCCCCTCCTCATCCTTGTAGATGTCTAATGGGTTTAGGCTTCGAAGCTCCATAAAGAAGTACACCCTGATATTTTAAGGGTATATCAGATTTTCCTATGAAACGGCTCACATGAGCAGTATCAAGCTACGTTTCTTCAACACACCGTATTGTACTTGACCATGCAAACTATTTTAATATGACGGAATGCTTTCCAATATAATACGGTGTACACTAAGCTAAGGCCATACAATGCAAACCTACAGGAAACAGTTCTCAAAGACTGAGAATACAGTGTTGTGCAAAAGGATCTGTAATTGCTATCGCCTAGAAATGTACCCGGCTTTGCCCTCAGGCTGCAGTGGAGCAGCAGCATCCCAAGTAGCGGTAACAGCAGGTTGCGGTGTGAAAATTCCTGCTTTTTCCCCTGTGAGGAGGGATGAAAATAGTTCTGAAAATACACAGCAAAGCTACTGCAATTTTTTTTTTTAAATGGGGTGTTATCTTATTATTCTTATTTCCCGTCCCATACTACGGCTGCAGTGTTTTCTGTCCCCAGCAGAAAATTTTTAAGCATATTATAGATAATAATGTATAGCTTTAGGGAAAAGGAGCTATAGTAATATAATACCTCCCCAATATTTCATAACAGAAAGCTGATGATAAAAAAAAATCAGTACTGTAATGAGAGCCCTGCCCATTCCAAACCACGTTTTTAACACAAAACATCTCATGTTTTAGTCTGTAATGTCATGCATATTCCACACGCATGGCCCTTGTGCACGTCAGTGTCAGCCCCTAGTCACTGTGTCCCTCCTCTGTCCCAGGCAGATCTTCATGTGGTCCTTCAGCCCTACGAGCCACAACAGGCAGGCTGGCTAAGCATAACGCAGGTTGATTTTATGAATGAGGTGAAACAGGAGGAGAACACGTGCCACCGCAAAAACCCCGCACCTTGGTTATTTCTACAGGTAAAGCCACCCGGTCTTGTGAAAACAGGTTTTCTAACCCACTTTGCAACTACAGGTTGCAGTCTCGTACGCCCCTTATTAGAGAAAATACTGTGAGGACTGAAGGTAAAAACAAGCCAGGAGGTCAAAGCTTAGGGCAGGAACAACGCCGGAGAAGAGGCGAGGAGCTGGGCTATGGAAAGGCACACACTGCTCAGGGCAAGCAGTAATGAGGAAAGGCTGTTGAAGAACGGCCAGAAAGGCCGCCATGACATCAACAGAAATCAAAGAGGGTTGTTTTTCTTTTTGAACAGGCGAGTAGCGAGGGAACGCACGTGCAGAGACAGCTGGCGTGGCCTCCTCTTCACCAGCTTTAGCTCGCGGAGGACTGGCCGGCTGCAGCCCCGGCCCCACGCCCCGCGCTGCCGGAGCCCCCTCCTCCTCCTCCGTCACCACGCCAGGTCTCACCCCGCAGACAGGGCTTTTGCAGTCCCAAGCCCAGATGGAGCAGGCTTCGGGCACTGAACTGCCTCTCCCTCCAGCCCAGGACGGGGCTCCTGGTGCGGGACCCCCACCCAGCCACCCTCGGGTACGCGACCCGCTGACCCCCACCAGCTTCACTTGCACCCATCGGTGTGATGCTCGTGGGTGAACACAGCTGGAAATCTAAACCTGGACAGCTACCAGGGGAAGATAATTACTGGGAAGACAGACAACGAGGCCAAGTACCATAACGTCCTGTTCTTCCCCAACTCACAGCCCTACCCTGGAGCGCTGCTCCTTTCAGCTGGTTGAAGTTCAGGTAACTCACCTATATCTAATGGAGAAATGCCATTTACAGCTGGTCTGGAGCACACAGGGAAAAAAAACATATTGACAACTAGGGATTTGAGTCAAACGTGTACCCTTCCCCTCTGCTCTGCCCTAGTGAGGCCCCATCTGGAGCACTCTGTCCAGTTCTGGGCTCCCCACTTCAAGAAAGATGAGGAGCTACTGGAGAGAGTCCAGCGGAGGGCTACGAGGATGAGGAGGGGACTGGAACATCTCCCCTAGAGGAAGAACTTCTTCCCTCTGAGGGTGACGGAGCCCTGGCCCAGGCTGCCCAGGGAGGCTGTGGAGTCTCCTTCTCTGGAGATATTCCAGCCCCGCCTGGCCGCGGTGCTGTGCAGCCTGCTCTGGGTGACCCTGCTTGGGCAGGGGGTTGGGCTGGGGGATCCCCAGAGGGCCCTGCCAATCCCGAACACTCTGGGATTCTGTGTGATTCTGTGACCTACGTGATTTAAAATCCCCCCTCTTCCACAGTTTTAAGACACGCAGCCATGCCAGAGAGCACAGCCTGCTGTTAGCACAGCCCCAGCTGCTCACACCCTGCCAAACTGCGGTCCGTGTCGGGGGATAACAGACTTCCCTCGCCTGAGAACACAGAAGAAAGTTTGCCAACAACAAAATGCATAGAGGCTGACGAATTAAAAGAAGCGCAATGTTTCCTTTTCAAACCTAACGCCATGAACGGTAGGGAATAAATCACATTAAACTGGGTACTGCTGATTAAAAACACTTACTGACCTTCTTACTCATGGCAGACCAGTTTTCATAGCAGATAAATTTAATCTAATGACATTTAGCCCCCAAAGCTCTCTAAACCCACCACCTTCCATCAGCTTTTAAATAAAGTTGAGGCGAACTTACAGGATTGCTCCTCATCGCTCCTCCCACCGCTCTCGCCGCTCTGCTGTTGCCCGCGAGCGCTGCTAATTGCTTGTAGGACACGGCCTCTCCAAACTTCACGTCCCTCAACAGGGTCCACAGCACTTGGCTGCTGAACGACTCTGCAAAGAAGACGAAGCGAGCACTGTTGGCATGAATGGCTGGAAAAAACCAAGCTGAAACGCCCAAAAAACACGGAAAAGCAGAGTCTCAGCAGCAGTTTTCTGATTTAAATTTAAACAGCCCCGACGCACTGTCCTGTTATTGTATCCTGTATTACTACATTTGAATACACGGTTATTAGAGAGAGCGCTTCAAGTAACCGATCACTATAAAAAAGGATTTAAGGCTTTGATTTTCCTATATTTTTAATTTGCTTCAAGTACAATTATCCTGTTAACTCATACAATGTGGTTTTTTCCATTAAATTGGCAGAGTATAAATTAGCATAGAGTCAAATTGAAAAGGGGAGAAATCACCGGCTCTACCTATTTCACAAAGCCCTCGCACCTCCAGCTAATTTCCAGCTTCAGCTGTGGCTGGTGGCAGCAGCAGCCCTGGAGCCAGCGGGCTCGCTATTACCCTGGCTGACTGCATTTTACGGCCGAGCCCCCCGAGCCACCGCTCAGCACTGCAGACCCTACAGAACGTCAGGACTGGCGGTGACCTTGAGCCGCCCGGCGCATCCCCCCCGACACGGGGCTCTGGAAAAAAAAAAAAATCACGTGTCTTCCATTATTTTAATTTTAATTCACCAGCAAATTGCTTCTAAGTGTTCCAATCGTGGAAATAATGAATACGGAAATGCATTAGGGCCAGCTTTCAGGGTTTTTACCTTCCCAGCCCAGGATTATTTCACTAAAGCAAAACCGATCGTCGCGTTTGGATTTTAGTTGGGTTGAACACCTACTGCTCTTCCAAGGCTCTTGTAAAACCTTTGAAGATCTGACTAGTGAATAACTTACTGAGAGGAGCGGGCTGGTGCATAAAAAAAAAAAAGGAAAAAAAAAAGCAAGGAAAAGCGACCCCGTCTCCCAGCTGAGAGCTTCAGCCTCCTGCTCTGGCAAAGAAACAAACTGATTAAAAACATTTTCTTTCTTCAGTTGTCAAAACAGACATTGATTACTTTACATAGGAACACAGAGAAACGTGATTTTGTTCTTAAAGGAAACCCATCCACCATTATGTGTGTGTTAAATAATAAAAATCACTTCTTAACTGAAGGGAACGATAATCACTTCATTGAAAAAATCTGTTTAGTCTTTATTATAACATTAAGCAAATTAAACAGCAGCTTAATCCAGGTGATACGAGAAAAGGGTCATCAAAGAAATTAACTTTGTTGTTCATTAATTTACATGGATTAGCAGAGGGCAAAGAGATAGCAAATCTGCTCTAGTTTTTTATGATATAATTTCAAACTGTACACCATTTGTGGCAGTAGGGTGACTTTGGGGTTAATCAGACTGATTTGTCCTTTTAATTGCTTTCTATTCAAAGAAAATTCATTAGATAATGTTCTCTTCAAAATTCATGAATCAATTTAACTGAAGAAACCACATTAACAGCTTTGGGTTCATTAGCACAAGCAGTTGTGTTACTGGCTGATTGCTAGGAGGGTTTCCTTAGGCAAACAGATTTTGTTTACTGTGATTTCTCCAGCAAGGTTTATTTCAAATCAAATCGTTACTACTTATTTTTTTTAACCTTCTTTTTAATTCTGCAAGATGAGAGTTAACCTCGCCTGCTCAGGGGTCTCGGGGAATTACTGCCTGATGTCATCTTTTAAATCAACGAGACGCAGCAACTGCACGCTGCTGGGCCCCGAGTCCAAAAAATCCCCTTTTCTGCCCTCGTTTTTGGCAGGGGAGGCAGTGGGCTGGGACCTGACGGACCCGGGACGTTGGGAAACCCGTAGCAAGGAGAAGCAGCCCGCGCTGGAGCAGCCGCGGGAGCACGGGACGGCTCCAGCCCCCCCAGCAACACCAGCACCGTGCCGAGCGATGCCCAAATTACTGAGCACCTCTGAACCCCCAGAAGAGGGACAGGGATTATCCTCCTCCAACAAGCAGGGGCAGAGATTATCCTCCTTCCAGAGCCGTCGTACATTTTTCACGGGAGAATATCTACTGCCCCTGCACCTGCATAAAACACTCCAAGTTATGGCTCGAAAGAATGAAATATTTAGCGATCATGCACATCATTTTATAAATGTATCTGAAAACTCCATTTCATCCTGTAGGGAGCAAATGCATTAATTAGTTTAAGCAGCTCTACGAGACAGTGCCAAATACTGTTATTAAACTGTCTGCAAGTGTGAGTGCCTGTGAGCATCACCTGCCCAAATGAGATGGCTGAACTTTCACCAATTTTCAGCGCGTGCCAACGTTTGACGCTGTTAAATATCACTATGAAGTGCTGTAAAATACGCCCATAAAAATTAACGGACGCCAATTCTCTCGTTATCTCCATACCTCCACGAGCTGCGGATGCCTGTGCCATTCCGGAGCGGCAGACGACCGCCGAGCGATGGCTGAACGGAGCCACATCCTACGAGTGGGTTCCGAGGTTTTCCCCTTCCTCTGCACCCCCCTCCGGCGCGCGCTGCGCCGCTGCCAGCAAAGATGCTCCCTCCAGGCGACCCGGCTCTGGACTGTCCTCTTGCCAAGGAACACGGGTTATGGCCAACGCCGAGCAACCAGTGCTGCCAGATGCTATTTCCCATTTAAGCGATCAATAATTTGTCAGATTTTACATGAAAAAGCACACTTCACCAGTTCCCACCGGGAGCTGGAGCTGCACTGGGAAGGCAGGGGTGAAGGTGGACTGAAAGCTGGGGAAGGGAGAGACCTGTGACTGAGTTGGGCTTCCAAGTCTCCAAAGCCCTCAGGACCCGTTCCCACCTCCAGCTACCATGTCCGTAGCACCCAGGGACCACAGAGGTCATGGGGAGGGTGTCCTGGAATCACAGAATGGGTTGCAAGGGACCTTTACAGGCCTTCTAGTCCAAGCCCCCTGCAGTGAGCAGGAACATCTTCAAGGCATCTTCAAGGCTCTTCTCAGAGCCCCGTCCAACCTGACCATGAATGTTCCCAGGGACGGGGCATCGACCATCTCTCTGGGCAACCTGTGCCAGGGTTTCACCACCCTCATCATAAAAAATGTCTTCCTTACATCCAGTCTGAATCTCCCCTCTTTTAGTTTAAAGCCATCACCCCTTGTCCCGTCGCAACTGGCCCTGCTAAAAAGCCTGTCCCCATCTTTCCCACAAGCCCCCTTTCAGCACTGGAAGGCTGCGATAAGCTCTCCCTGGAGCCTCCTCTCCAAGCTGAGCAGCCCTTATTTAACAACAGACGAGGAGCGAATGACTTCTTGGCTGCTCTCCTCCCACGGCCATCACCGCTGCGTCAGGCGCTGGCCAGACACCCTGTCACTGCGCGTTACCACCAGCCCTGCCACCCTCCTGGTGAACCGGCAAAGCAAGGCACCGTCGCGCCGAGAGTGACTGCGCCAGCGCTGACCTGAAATTAATATTTTCAGATAAGTTATAGCCCCTAAAAGGGCGGATTTACCCTGAACGTGCTGCTAATGCCCAAATGCTTCCGAGGTCACCTGCGACCGCCCGCTAGGCTTGAATTCTCCACACAAACACGTCGTGCCCGCAGGGATAACGGAGTGAAAATCGAGTTTCCGTTAACACCAGCTGTATCCTAACTTTCTGCAGCGCAGCTAAAGGTGGCAATAGGAGATGAAGCCACCTGCTGCTGCCTGATCGGGCTCCCTTTGAATCCCTTCGGTCAACGGGGCTTAGAGACGGACCGGTTTTTAACTTCTCCTCAACACCGACTGCTGGGAAAGTTCATTTTTCTATTTGGTGTTTGGTTTGGGTTGGTTTTTTTTTCCCTGAGGGTTTTCACAAATCACAGAATCCCAGCATGGCAGGGTTGGAAGGGGCCTCTGTGGGTCCCCCAGCCCAGCCCCCCGCCCCAG